CCATAGCATAACACATGAGTGGCATAAAGAAAAGAACTAAAATCAGCAATTTCAATATGCTTATATTCCAAGAGAGTATCAACTTTACTCAAGTCATTTTAAACATTTTCTATTAAAACAAATATAGGGCCTCCCTGGTGGCGCAAGGGGTTAAGACACAACCTATGAAGCTATCCGCAGCCACTGCAGTACGAGTTCAATACCCGGCCAGGGAGAGATACCCACATGGCGCAGCAGACCTCTTCTGACTCGCCCGCTGCTCCCCTCAGGAGTGCATTTCAGTCGATCTACCTGTTCTGTTCCCTGCTCTGTCTCTGGTGAATTCTCTCACCCCACCCCCCGCACCTCTGGCCCATACCCCAGTTCTTGTATGCATAAATAAATCTTTTAAAAAATATATATATATATATATTATGTAATAGAGCGGAAAATTCAAATGAGTGTTTGCAATACAACACAAGATCCCTAATACATTTTGTGATATAGATAGCTACTTCCTTTTTTAGATTCTAAGGACACATTTATCTTTTGTTTTCAGATTTCATGAAAATGATGACAAGTATTTACAAACATAAAGTATCTCATTTAGCCAATTCTCCAAACAGACTATATACTCTTTGAGTAGCTCATTAATAAACATCTTTATATTTCTAGCATCTAGAAATAGTACTTATACATCAACAACAGATCTACTGATGTTCACTTTTGGCAAGGATAAAGAGATAGGCACCAGACTTTACTTCTGACTTGAAACAACATATATATAAAAAATATAGGGCCTCCCCGGTGGCGCAGCGGTTGAGCGCTGGGCTGCGAAGCTGCCTGCGGCCTCAGCGGCGCCGGTTCGATCCCCGGCTGCTCCCCGGCCACCAGAGGAGGGTCCCACATGGCGCGCAGACCTCTCCTGCCGCCCGCTGCTCCCCTCAGCAGTGTACTTCGGTCCTTCTGCCTGCTCTGCTCCCTGCTCTGGCTCTGGTGAATTCTCTCACCCTCCCGCGCTTCTGACTGTACCCAGTGCATGTATAAACAAAAAACAAACAAACAAACAAATAAATAAATAAAACATGCCTCTATAAAAAAAATTAAAAAAAAATAATAATAATAATATATATATAATATTTATATATTATTATAAATGATATATTTATGTTATATATCAATATGTACTTTTTTTTCTGTTTTCAAAACAATGGAAGACAAAAGATTCCTGAGAAACAGGAATGAGACAGGCCCTGTGAGAGTTTCGGGTCACAGAGAATGGAGGGGAGAACCTGGGCCAAGCCTGGTAACTCACGGAGTTAAAGAGACAGGGCAGCTAGAAGTCACAGCACACGGTACTGGAGAGGAAAAGTGCTACACAGAGTGTGAATTCCAAAGATGTACAGATAGTCCCTAATGAGTATTCAAGTGAATATTGAGCAGTGCATGTAGGTAAGGAAAATGCCAGAGGTAGAACAAAGAACTATTAGAAAGGATAACAGGACTAAACATTGTCTGTCTCCTCGGGAAGTTAAATATAGAATTGCCTCATGACCCTAGGCTAGTAGGTATATATCCAAAAGGACTGAAAGTATCAAATAAGTACATGTAAATCTATATTCATTGCAGCAATGGTCACATTTGGGGTATAAACAGTCTTACCAGTGGATGAATATATAAACAAATTGCTGTACACATACACTAGATTCATCCATAAAAAAGAAAACTGTATTGATACATGTTACAACATAGATGAACCTCAAAAACATCATGCTAAGTATAAGAAGCCAGACACAAAAGACCAATATATAATTCTATTTATATGAAATATCCAGAACAGATAAATCCAGAGACAGAGCAGACTGGGGGTTGCCACAGGTTGGAAACAGGGTAATTGGGAGGAATTGATTAATGGGTAAGGGGCTTTAGAGTCACGGAAATGTTTGAACTGGAGAGTGGTGACAGTTGCACAACATTGTGAATGTGTTAAATGCCAGTGAATTGTTCACTTCCAGAGTGGGAAGGGATGGGAGAGAACAGCATGGGGAGGGACACAAAGGACTGGGGTAGAGATTACGATTGCTTTGGTGGTGGGTATGGTGTAGTAACAACACCTGAAAGGGGAGACCCTATACCCAAAAACACAAAGGTTGTAAATCAATGTTACTGCAATTAAAAAAAAAAAAGAACTTTAAAAGTTAAAGGATAGCAAAACATATGATGGTAACATTAATTAGAAGACTGAATTAATATTAGAAAAAGATTTCAGATGAAAAAATGTAATTGGAAAAGAATATCGATTTCATAATGATAAAGTGGTGAATCCATTAAGTAGATACAAAACCTGAAAGTTTTATGTCCCCAGCTACGGAAGGTTAAAATACTTGAAACAAAAATTGTTATAATAGACAAACCCACAATTATAGTCAGAGGTTTTAATATTCTCTTAATAAATGATAAAACTAGCAGTCAGAAAATCATTAAGGATACAGTAGGTTTGAATGATGTTATTAACTAAATTGATCTAATTGACATTTACAAATCACTCTACCCAATAAGATCTTGATTGTGATGGTGTTGCATAACTCCAAGATATGTCAAAAATCATAAAACTTTACATCAAAAATGATTACTGTATTACTTATAATATATTAAATAATTTTCAAAAAATGGGCCAAGACAATTTTTTTTTTTTTTAAAGATTTATTTATTTATTTATACAAGCACTAGGCACAGTCAGAAGCGCAGGAGGGTGAGAAAATTCACCAGAGCCAGAGCGGGGAGCAGAGCAGGCAGACTGACAAAGTACACTGCTGAGGGGAGCAGCGGGCAGCAGGAGAGGTCTGTGAGCCATGTGGGACCCTCGCTGGCGGCTGGGGATCAAACCAGCGCTGCAGAGGCTGCGGGCAGCTTCACAGCCCAGCGCTCAACCGTTGCGCCACCAGGGACGCCCCCAAGACAAATTTTTTAAAAGGAAATGGCAATGTGGGAGGTCCAAGTAGTAATAGTAGTAGTGGTAGTAGTAGTAGTAGTAGTAATAAAAATAATATTAGATTAAACAAGGGTTGCAGAACCAGAACAGGTCATAAAGAGTCTCTAACAGAGATGCAAGAATGTCACATTCTCCATGGTTCTACAATAGTTTACAGCCAAGACATGGAAATATACAACTTTTTTTTTTAATAAGCAGTAATCATATTTGTTTATGCTCACCAGACAGTAGAATCCATATAAAATTAAATGTATCGAAGTGTTCCATCTACTCATGTATACAGAGACCTTAGATTGAATACTACAATGTTAAATATACTTTCTGAAAATATAAGTGGGGATAGCCTAAAAACAAAAATCAATCTACTTTATGCATCAAGTAAAAAGGAATTTAATAAAGCATCTGAAAAATTATCTTAAGTTGCCAAGAATGAGTGGAGAAGGGTAGGAAGTCGTGTTCTAAATCCTATACGTGCACATACTATCATATCGGTTTTCTCACTTAAAAATATAGATCACAAAGGTTTCTAGAATATTAAAACTCTTTGTTAAGTTACAGTAAATTACCAACCTAGTAAATATAGCAGCCATTTAAACAACTGAAGCACCCAAATAATAGGAGAGAGTAAAGGGATATAAACTACAATAGTTATAAATCCAACTGTGGATCCAGGGACAAACAGCGATTAAAAAAAAGAAAATCCAGGGCCTCCCCAGTGGCGCAGTGTGTTGAGTGCAGTGCTGTGAAGCTGTCCCGCAGCCTCTGCAGCGCTAGTTGGATTCCCGGCTGGCCAGGGAGATTCCCACATGGCCCGGCAGATCTCTCCTGTCTCGCCTGCTGCTCCCCTCAGCAGTATATTTCGGTCCTTCTGCCTGTTCTGCTCCCTGCTCTGTCTCAGGTGAATTCTCTCACCCCTCCCACCTGCCTCTGGCCTGTACCCCAGTGCTTGTATAAATAAATCAATCTTAAAAAAAAAATCCATGTTCTGAAGATAAACCAGATGAGAACTATATGTGGAAAAAATTCTTAGGGTAAAGGAATTATTATAACTATTACAGTAAATATTACAAAATTGTTCTATTTCAAAGAATAATCTCCTTCATATCAAAATGTACTAGTAAAAAAATTATTTCCATGAGAATATAACTTTTATAAGAGAAATCAAGGGACAAAAGGAATTTGCTTTTCATCATTTCCTGTTACTATTTGTTGACAAAATGAAAATGCAGTCACACAAAATCATTCATTCCATTTAAGCTTAAGGGTATTTGATTTTTATACATATAATTGTAATTTTTTTCAAGCTTTTACAGAAACATAACATCAGGCTATATTAATTTGCTATATCTCTACTAACATCTTGGAAATGCTTGGATAATAAGCTGCCAAAATTATACTTTTTAGATCATTTTTTCTGATAACAGAATCACTATGTATTCATCATAGAAGACTTCTAAAATACAAAAATTAAAAGGAAATCAGAATACCCATATCTTAGCCACATGAAATAAACCTGTATCCATTTTATTTGTTCTATGAGTACTATCTTACATATTAGTAATAATGACATTATTCAAGATTTATAGACACTTATTTTGAGCTATTTAGCTAAGAGGCTTATAAACATTATTTCAGTTTATCTTTACAACAATCCTATGCACATAGGTTGGTGAATATTTTTATTTTCATATATGATAACTGGAGTTTAAATCAGCTAGGAGACTTGCCTAAGGTCTCAGAGATAAGTGAATACTGTCCAGCACTCCCAATCACTGTCTTAGACCCCAATACAGAAAGAAAGCTGTATTCTACTCAATTCTTTAGTAATTCCTATGTCACAAATGGCTATTTAATATAACAGCATGCTAACATAACATACTCATTTAATTACTCCCCTACTAGATCGGATTTTTGTATAGTATTCAAGATAGTGTGATTCATTCAAAATAAAAAAAAAAAGAAAACTAGTTAAATGCAAGATTTGCTTATCTACTTCTAAATTTAAATTAAAATATGTAATTCAACTTACTCTTTTACTGAGGCAAATAACTGGCCACATACTGCAACCTAATGTGCAGCAGCAACAAAGGCAGCCACAAAGTAGCCATCGTACATTAACAGGAAGGTTCTTCTTAAGACAACTGTTAACTCTGTTGATGCTGGCTTTAAATTCTTCAGGAGCTACCTAGAGAAAAATTGTAAGAAATAACAACACTGCAGTATTAAAGTCAGTAAATATGTGTTGTTAGCATATTTTTTTTCTAATTTGTTAGGAAAAGACTAGCTTTGAAGCACATAAACATATTAAAAATAATTGATACTCACTTTTCCAGTTAATGAAGAAGGGAATTCTGATTCAAATTTGTTGCTCAGTCCAAATCTATTTTAAAAAAGAAGAAAAAGATGTTATTTAAATGACACTGGTACAAAAATAAGACCATTTACTATAATCAAAGGTTAGGTAAATAGAGTGCAACTTCATAGAAAAACAAAAGAAGTTTGAGATAGAAAAAACATTATAATTAGCAATTTATGAAATGTAGTAAGCAATTTTTGCAGCTGAATAAAAACTTTTTTAAAATAAGGTGCTGATAATACAGGAATAAATGACTTCTTTGAGACTATCTTTGTGAGCCAAATATTAATGTAGTGGAAAACAACATAATCGTCCAATTTTGTCAAAATTGCTACAATTTTTCCAAATAGAAAGCTAAAATCTTGCTACTGGCTATTCTTTAGGTAAAGAACATTTGTTAACACTCAATAAAGTAGCAATATGTCTAAGAATATAAATTAAGTAGTTAGCATTTTCTGAGATCAGTCTATCTGCTATTATAGTCTACTGCTATTATAGTCAGAGAATGCTAAGAACACCTGCAACAATGTGATAGTTGGCCTGGCTACTTAAACTTTCAAGACTCTGAAATAGATAAAATTGAGGTAGAACAGCTCAATGTCTCTAAGCTTTTAAATGTTTGCAAAGATCATGACGATTGACTGGGCACTTGACTATTTCTTTGCATAAGTTAGTATGAAAATATTCAGATACATTGGTAATAGGAGATTGCATCTTGGAAATAAAAGTTGAGACTCTTAAATATGATTTTTATTAGATACCAGAGACATTTTTTCCAGCTTTATTGAGATATAACTGGCATACTGTATAAGTTCAAGGTGTACAACAATTTGAAATATGTATCCATTATGAAATGATTACCACAATAAGTTAACAATCATTACCCCACATAGTTACTTTTTCTTAAGATGAGTACCATCACTCTCTTACCAATCTAAAATACATTAATTCTACACTACAGGTAGCAGGCACTGGGAAGGATTTCCTTAGATATTCTGTATGAAACAGATGGTCAGGTTATCGGTTACCAACTCAACCATCAGCAGAGCTGAACAGAGGAATCATATGAGGTGGGCTGTGTGAAGGTAATAAGGAGTAGTAGAGACTGGGAAGTAGAAAATGTAAAATGTGGAGGAGAGGGAAGAGCAGGTCACAGGTCAGATCCAGCTCAAACCAGATTTTCTCTTTCCAAGAGTAAACTGGAAGAACAGATTTCTATGCAAAATTTGCTACCTCTAAAATACTGTGTAAGTCAAAAAATTAGCTCTATGGATCAGGTTGTTTGGTTTGTATCATGATCTAGATTTCCCTACATGTAGGATGATGGCATCTATGCCCATTTTATCATCATTTTAAGTACTTTCATACATCATTTAATGGTAGCAACTATGAATATGAATATTAATTATAAACAATATATCAATACAACTACCTAGGTCCAAGACAAAGTCCTTTCACACTAAAGATAAGCTAGCAACTATTTGTTTAATTCTAGCATTACTGTCATCCTCTGAAATCTGAAAACTGAGATAAACTTATATTCTGTCTACATGAGGGCTCTAGAAAAAGTGTGGCTCTACTTGAGAAAACTCCTACAGATATGTAAACTCACCTCAGACCTTAAAGGTCCTTGCAGGAGAAAGATGTGTGATAGCTCTCAGCAAGGTCACTAATGTATTTCCTTTTCATCTGCTCTCCTTACAGAAGATGTCATTCAATAAATAGAGGACTGAACCCTCTAAACTATAAGCTTGCATTTCTTGCATTATCTCCCTTGGTTTGAAGGTTTTATTTTTCCACCTACAGTTTTTTATTTCAATCATGTTTATTATTACAATTAACTACCTCCTTCCACTGGTCTTTGCAATTTAATCGATTGGGTATCTCCAAGTCTCCTAAAAAGAAATGCCTTCCTCTTTCACTCCCCACCATTATAACCAATGAATTTATTTCACTGATTACCTAGTTTGCCAGGTAATATGCTAAGTTGGAGGGGACAGTCCAGTAAGCATTTAGAGCCTAAAGGCCTTTCTTTCTAGGGCCTGAATACTTCCTTACTATTTGAGTGGCTCCTTTTAGGGCAGGTTAGTAGTTATCCTCCCAAAGTGAGAACTGATAGTTCCAATGAAATACTTTAGGGAGTGAGTCCCTCTTTAGTCATATTTTTTGTTAAGTTATAGCTTCCTCTTCCCTCATCTCACCCTTAAAAGAATGTCCCAGGAGAAATTTCCCTGTGGCGTGATTCACACTAGAGAGGAGTGCTTAGTTTTTCCAACAGTCACTGTTTAGGTGCTAATTTTTCTATTCTCTTACCTATGGTCCCCCCACCAATTCAACGAGCATACCTGGAAGGAGTGTCACTAATATGCTGCTGTTGAAGGCCATAGCATCTCCAGAGTCCACAAGAGTAAACCTGTAATTATTTCCCTTTAAAAATCTCTAAGACACTTAATATTTGAACCGATTTCTTCATGGCTACAGGCAGATAATCAGGTGCCCCTTCTTTATCTTCATTTGGAATACAGCCCTTCCCACAGGGATATTCAAAGAGGATGTCAAACCTCTTTGCTTTCTAAAATTCTTGAGGCCTTCAGTTAGTTTAAGATTATTCTACTTATTTTTACCAATATTTTAGATTGGACATTAATACTGAAACATCTAAAATGTTTTTTAAATTTATTCATAAATGAGCAATTGTATTCTAACAAAAATAACATTTTTGGGCCTCCCCGGTGGCACAGCGGTTGAGCGCTGGGTTGCGAAGCTGCCCGCGACCTCTGCGGTGCCGGTTCGATCCCCGGCTGCTCCCCGGCCGCCGGAGGAGGGTCCCATATGGCGGGCAGACCTCTCCTGCCGCCCGCTGCTCCCCTCAGCAGTGTACTTCCGTCCTTCTGTCTGCTCTGCTCCCCGCTCTGGCTCTGGTGAATTCTCTCACCCTCCCACATGTCTGACTTTACCCAGTGCATGTATAAAACAAAACAAACAAATAAATAAATACATGCCTCTATTAAAAAAAAAACAAAAAACATTTTACAGTAACTTTTCCAAAGTAAAAAGCTTTATAAGGAAAATACTGCTTCATCTTCTCTTTAGTGTCTGACAATGGGAGACAGCTGGATTCTCACATCTCTTTCTGCATTCAATCTGTCTTCATATGCTTTTGGTTGATGTTTATGAAAACGAACGAGCCTAGCATAAATATGTAGTTGGAAATTGTGTATAACCTTGATACTGTACCAAAACTTGACAAATGGCAGTTTTTTTGTTTTTGTTTTTTTTTGGTTTTTTCTTGCTAGAAAGATAGTGAAACTATATCAATAAACTTTTAATACTCTGTTCAATTAAAATTCATTAGTAGGGCCTCTCCGGTGGCGCAGTGGTTGAGCACTGGGTTGCGAAGCTGCCCACAGCCCCTGCAGTGCCGGTTCAATCCCCCGCCACTGGGTGAGGGTCCCACATGGTGCACAGACCTCTCCTGCCACCCACTGCTCCCCTCAGCAGTGTACTTCAGTCCTTCTGCCTGCTCTGCTCCCTGCTCTGGTGAATTCTCTCACCCTCCCGCACTTCTGACTGTACCCAGTGCTTGTATAAATAAATAAATAAATCTTTTTTTTAAATAAATAAAATAAAATAAAATTCATTAGTATATTCTGCATTCTAAGTTAATTTTTTTACCCAAACATGACTTTGTAACATCATACATTTGTCCTGTGGAAAGTATTGATATAGCTCTCCTAAAGGTTTTGATATCAGAACCATCACATTCATTAATATCACCACTGAACTCAACAGAAAGTTCTTTAAGTATTGGGAAACTGTCAAGTTCACAGTCATAGATACAAGTTTTCCAAAATCCTAAATTCCATTTGGAAGCTGGAGTTTTATTATTGATAACAAATGCTATCATTTGCTTTCCTTGAAGTGATATTCTTGCTTCCATAATTAAACCATATCACCTATACTTTAAAACCTAATTTCAAAGCATTTTATTTTGATAGCTCTTTTCTAGCTTTGAATGTTTTTGGTGAAGATAAGCTATGGCTGAATTTAATAGGTATCTCACTACATAAACAATATAAACAGGAGAAAGGAAAATATAGGGACAAGTAGGGAAGGGGAAGGAGAAGGAAAGAGGGAGAGAAGAAATAAAATGATTGGCCAACTATTACTGACAACACTTATTTACCATTCAACATCTACTGTCCATCCTTTAGATGATGTGAAGGAAAATGTAGACATCTACTATATATACATCTATCCCTATTCCCTAAAAGACATTTTCTTAAATCATGGTTCAAATATTCATGGCTTAGAATTGATAAAAGATTTAAACTATTTCCAAAAAATGGTAACTATAACAAAATACATTACACTTAATGCTTTTTACTCTTATCTATGAGAAGTTTACAAATGTACTAGTATTTAGGAAAAAAACAATTCACTCAAATAACAACTAGGATCACCTATGTAATACCTTATGATCACAGGTCTGTATTAGAAGGCTCATATAGCTTTTTATTTATTTTTTAATATTTTATTTTATATAATTCTTACATCATTTTTCATTTTTGCACAATGTATGCATTTTCATTTTGGTTATATTCCCCATACAATTGCACCCCCCACTTATTTTGACCCTAATCCCTCCTCTCCCTGCCCACCCTTACTAGTGTGTCTCTGGTTTATAGTTGCTTGTTGATTTTGATTTTTACTTTTTATTAATTAGTCTTTTTCCTGCTCCCTTATTTAGGTTTTCTAAATTCCTGCTATGAGTAAGACCATCTGGTATTTTTCTTTTTCTTTCTGACTTATTTCGCTAAGCATGATACCTTCTAGCTCCATCCATGCTTCTGAAAACTGCATGTGTTTATCTTTTTTGATGGCTGAGTAATATTCCATGGTGTATATGTACCACATCTTCTTGATCCAGTCATCTATTTTTGGGCATTTGGGTTGTTTCCAAAGCTTAGCTATTGTAAATAGTGCTGCTATAAACATAGGGGTGCAGGTGCCCTTTTGAATTA